GATGTGGGGTTGAATCATGGACCCCTGACATTTGAACATCTGAACTATTTGGTGGCTGCATGCCACATAATTTGTAATATAAGTAGGTGAACTATTTAGTGGGTACATGCCACATTATTCTCTTGAGTTGGACAATTTTCTTGGTTCTGTTGAGCTTAAGTTTATGGTCGATGATGACAAAACAAAGATAAAATGAGGTGACACTTGATTTGTTAATTTTTGATGTTTCTCATGGTTGTCATCAAAACATGTGAGACATCCATACCTAAGCAACTCCTTTGCCTAGCTAGGTTGATGGCTTAGGTTGGATGTCTCTCATGCTTCCATGGCTGCTGTGATATTGGTTTTGCCCTCCTATTTTTGGGTATACATACCTAGTGCCACCAATGATTTTTTTGGAAAGAAGGTACACATAAGCACCAGTCTGAGGCCACATGATGCAAAACCCAAATGGTTGATGATGTCTTGGTTATGTTGATGACTTTGTTCCATGGAGGTGCCACTTATTTTGTTCAGTCTATGTTGTTTCTCAGGGCAGTCATCAATCCGTGAGATACATCCGTCCCAAGCAACTGCTATAGTGATTGATGGCTCGGGTGGATGTGTCCCACGGTTCCATGGCTGTCTTGAACCTGTTTATGCCCGATGATGACTAAATTCTATGGAGGTGGCACTTGTCTTGCTCAGGTCTTGGTGTTTCTCATGGTTGTCATCAAATCATGAGACACATCCATACCTAAGCAACTCATCTGCTTAGCTGGGTTGATGGCTTAGGTTGGATGTGTCACATGATTCTATGCCTACTATGATCTTGCTGTCATTAATATATCTCAAGGCAGTCATCAAACCATGGCTGACATCCATCCCCAAGCAACTGCTATTGTGACTAATGGCTGGGGTGGATGTTGGTCACGCTTCCATGGCTGTCTTGAAGTTGGTTTAGTTCTCCTACTTTGGGTTACATACTCAGTGCCACCAATGATTTTTTTGGATGCAATAAAACATGACCATCAGCCTGATGCCACATTTCCTTCTTTTTGCCTATGATGCAAAACAAAAGAAGCTGAGGCAATTTTACTCTAATATGCCATTGTTTTCTTCATGTGCAGCTGTCATTGACAATTTACAAGTGATGACTCTTTGCTGCTTTCCTTGCTGTGATGTTCATCAGGAAGAGCAGGAGTAATAGATGATACTCATATGTAGTTGTCATTAACATTATTAAAAACTTGTAATTTGTTCTTAATTGTGTTGTAATGTGACTAGACTCGAGTAAACTGTGCTTTAGTTAATACTGCTAATCTCCTTTGACATGGTTAAGTGTTGAATACTTGCAAAAACTTATCAATTTTCTTCCTTGTTTGTGATCTGGATGAGTTGCTGCTGCTCCTACATGGCGTGTTGTCCAGGCAACAAAACACCATCCCAACCAGGCAGTTGGGAGGTAGTTGGGATCACTGCCACCGAACTCAGGCAAACAAACAAGGAGCCCGTGCTAGCCAGGCCTAGTAGGGAAATGAAAGAAACAAGGTGCATTGCATCGGCTGGGCCTAGCGGGAGCACCCGAAAACAAACACGTCCCATAGTGATATAGAAAAAGTCTACTTAACCCTAACCTATTAAGGGTGGTCTACTTCACCCCCCAAACTATGAAACCGTCTATTTTACCCTCTGAATTTTCCAAAACCGGTCAAATTACCCTTAGACGGTTTTGGACGGTGGTTTTGCTACAGTAATAGTGGTTTTTTTCCCCACTGAATCTTCGAAAAATCATAGTAAATCATAGAAAAATCATAAAATAGAAAATTCAATTTTTTCTTGGACTCTACATGAGTAGATCTACATAGTGAAAATATAATATGATATGCTTTAGTACAAAGGTTTTGCTGTAAAAAAATTGGATTTGTTCACTGTAAAGCTATAGCAAAAACTTTGTACTAAAGCATATCATATTATATGTTTACTGTGTAGATCTACTCATGTGGAGTCCAACAAAATTGATTTTTTTATTTTATGATTTTTCTGTAATTTACTATGACTTTTCAAAGATTAAGTGAAAATAAAAAAAAACAGCGTTACTGTAGCAACCATCGGCCAAAAACCGCTTAGACCACCTTGGTGTGAGGGGTTAATATATAGTGCATTTTACGCCAGTGCCATTAAAAAAGATGGCTTAATCGTCAATGTCCCTATAAAGTTAGGTCTATCACTGTTGTTCCTGGGTTTGGAAACTTCTTTCGCCCAAGCCATTCCGTCCATTGTAGCTACTAACGGTGGGTAACGAAGGTGAAAAAAGACTTGAATGCCATTAAGGAGTAAGAGGATGACCGAAAACTTATGTGTTTCTTCTATGCCACTCCCAAGACCTAGCCTCTTGGCGCCCCCTCGTGTTAGCCACCTCGAACCAGCAGCAGCAGGCACGTTACGCCTACGGAATGGACTTCGTCGCAGTTGACTTTTGTTTAGGCCGTTTCGTAGGTTACTGGGAAGAGCAGTGTTTTTTTATCACTACTGGGAAGAGCAGTTGGCTGAACATCCAACCGACGATCGATAGGGCTTGGCTCGTCCCAGAACACACGGATGAGCAGCAGTTTTCGCCCCTGTACCCTTCCCACGGTCTTCTCCTAGGACTAGCAGGCCACTGCTGCTCAGGACAAAGGACGGCTCGGGGTCAATAACTTGCCCGCCGGTCGGTGCAACGAACTGTCAGCTAGGCCTTATTTAGATACCCTCAAAATTCTAAGTTTTTTTACTCTCTCTTCATTACATCAATTTTTAGCCATTTGTATAGAACATTAAATGTAGATAAAAAAATAACTAATTGCACAGTTTAGTTGGAAATCACGAGATAAATTTTTTGAGCTTAGTTGGTCCACGATTAGACAATATTTACCAAATAAGACGAAAATGCTACTATTCATCGGTTTGAAATTTTTTGCAGTCTAAACATAGCCCTAGTATGCAGTTATCAGTACTACTCACGCAGTGTACGCACTGGTACATGTATGGGGTCACTTTGACGGTGGGTGATCGTGACAGCCAACCGCTGTTAAGATGCCGCACTCCAAGCAAGTGTAACCAGGAAAAAAAACTGATCTTTGCAGGTGACCTTCCTCAAGTGCGGCGGCGTGGCCGTGGGCATGGGCATGCACCACGTCACGATGGACGGCGCCGGCGCGATCCAGTTCATCCGGATGTGGGGCGGCGGCGGCGGCGAGAGTCCCCTCTTGGTCGCCGTTCCACGGCCGGACCCTCTGCAGCGCTTGCGCTCCCGCGCGCGTGCGTGCCCTTGAGCACCGGTCTACTCGCCGGCGTACCTCAACGGGTCCCCGCGGCCCTTCGTGACGCCGCGTCGTCTACACCGCTCCCGCCAAGCTCTGCCCGACATCCGGTCCCGGTGCGGCGCCGGGCGTCCACGTCTTCGCGCGGTGACGGCGCTTTGTGGCGCGCCATGTGCGTGGCCCGTGCCCTCCCGGCCGACGGCGAGACGCGGCTCTGCGTGCCGCCAACATCTGGCGGCGCCTTTCGGCCGCCTCTCCCGCCACCTACGCCCGGCAACGCGATAAATGCGGGACACGGTGACCGTGAAGGTGGGCGACGTCTTTGTCGCAGCCGCTTCGAGTTCGTGGCGGACCGGATCAAGCGCGCGGTGTCCCGCGTCGATGGCGCCTTCGTGCGCTCCGTCATCGACTACACGAGCTGAGTCGAGAAGGGCAACCAGCGGCGGCGGGTAGTTCATGCTTGGTCCGACACATGGGTGGTCGGTGGGCTGAGCATGCCCATCCACGACGCCGACTTCGGTGGGGCGGCCGGGTTAAATGGCGCCAGCGCGGATGTTCGACAGCAGCACGACCTACGTCACGCGAGGGCTACGACAAGGGCGACCCCATCAACGTGCTCTTCGTGCTCGAGCCTGAGTACCTGCAGACCTTCGAGAAGGCCTTCTACGGGGAGTGACCGTGAAAGCCATGGCGAGGTTTATAGAGGAGTCGGGCTGTAGAAGCCTAGAAGGGAAGAGCTAGTCCACTGTGGATGCGATGTGATTGTCAGGCCGTCGTGGACCCAGCCAGCCATGACTTCAGTACTGGAGTCGACTACCTGGAGCTAGAGTCAATACCGGTCAACACGGAGACCTGTCCATGCCCAGCGAAAAACAAGCGGAGAGGCGACGGAATGGCGTGGACGAAAGAAGTTTTCAAACCCAGAGACAGCAATGATAGACCCAACTTTATATGGCCATTGACGATTAGATCATCTTTTTTTAATGGCACTGGGGTAAAAGGCCCACCGCCAGACTTAGGGTTCCAGTCATTTCTCTCCCTCCCTCCCTCCCGAGCCCCTCCCCTGTGCCGGCGTCCCTCTCCCTCCCTCCCGTGCCCCTCCCCTTTGCCGGCGCCCCTTCTCCCTCCCTCACGACGGCGCCGCTCTCCCTCGAGCACCTCACCCTCAACCTCTCCGGCAGCGCGGCAGGTTGAACCGACTGCAACAAAAAGGGCATAGCTTGCCGAAGGGGGGCGGCTGGTGATCCTTCTTCTCTCTCCCCCCCCCCAAACCCAAGGTATTTGTTCAAATTTGTTAGGGCTGTCCTCACTTTGGTTCGATCTGTGCTTATTTTTCTCCTTACACCCGATCTGAGCGCCACCTGCATGTTCGTTTCGTGAAGCATACATGGGGTTTCATTTTGATTAGCTACTACTTGTTTTTTCCCTAAATATATTACCTAAATACTAAAATTTATAAGGATGATGCAAACCTGTCAGAAAATTCAAACGCCTACAACACTTCCTTTGATTGACTATATTCTCTATGAGCGTGGCTTGCTCCGATATACTATACATGTGTGCCTCGAGGAGCAAGTTGTAATATTCTTAAACACTATTGGACAACCACCTTCAAAACAGGTTCATCAGCACTATTTGACAGGTCCAATGGAACAGTTAGCCTGTATTGTAGACTTGTCCTCCATGCCATAGGAGGGCTAAGAAATGATTTGGTAGGAAATGGAGTCTCAACCGATTGCGGGGATAACATGGGGAGAAACCATGCTAGGAGTGGACCTGTGGTGTGGGCAAATCAGCAGATTGCCATGAGCTCACTATGTTTTCAAGTGTGCTATTCAACACGACAACAAATACCATGCATGAGATGAACCTTATATTACTTCCATCTGGCGATTGGATGTCTTGTATTCTTTATAATCTTTTGACTATTTGCCTATTGATCCTTCTGCAGGTTTGGAATGAAAAATAAACGGGGAGATGGTTGCGCAGGAGAAAATGATAAACATAAGAAGCAAAAAGCTCACACAACAGGTATCACAATTGAGTCCTTTCCATGATTTTTAAGTTTTTCACTTTTTACTGTATAGCACCCTAAACCACACTTTTGCATGTTTCTTTCACTAGTGCATGGGGATCTGATTGATGTCTTTGAAGAACAATTCGGTGATTTGTATGATTCTGGGCAAGGTGTCTGGAGTGAGTTCAGTAAAGGAGTTGCTTCAATGTTATCTGAAAGTGTTGTCGCTGTTGCTTCATTTAAGGGTGAATACACTGTGATATACTCACAATGTTTTCAGGTCGTCTGGTCGAACCTGGTCGCCATGGGACCGACCAGGAGACTAATCGCGATTAGTCGTCGACCAGGCCGATTAGTCGACCCTGGTCGTCCATCTAGTCGTCAATGTATATCAGGACAGTCTTGATGCTTGCTTTATTGTGTATACTATATATATAGTATACACAATAAAGCAAGCATCAAGACTGCATTAGTGTTTAGCTGGTGACACTAATGCAGTCTTGATCTTGACGCACCTGAACAGCAGCACTGCTGCAGTAGCAAAATAACTAACATTTAGCAGACCATAGCAGCCACACAGCCAGCATATTACATAACCAAATTAGTTCAGTACAGATAAGCTAAAGTGTTCAACACAAAGTCATAAACATTGACATTCAATAGTCCCACATGTCCGCTCAGTTCAACAGGCCCAAAAACAGAGTAACCAAACTGGTCGTCCCTGTCCTAGTCGGACGAGTCGTCGACTAATCGGACAACCAGCTTTCTGGTCGAGCTAATCGAGTCGGTCCTCCTAATCGGACACCAGGGACCGACCAGGACGACTAATCGCAATTAATCATGATTAATCGGACGACCTGAAAACATTGTATACTCATGTGCTTCAATATTTTGTTTGACCATAATTGATGAATAATTGAATATATGATTGTGTAGGAGATAAGATGGTATGTTCATGCTCAGGCATAATTATACTTTGCAAGCCACTCGTCACAACTTTGCTCACTTCAGCAAGTTTGGTGAGATCTTCTCATGATGAAAGCCAGATTGACCATGACTTGATGGTGAGTTGCTAACCACTCTCTACTCCTTTTACTTGCTAAAAACCTGATGGGGTTTTCTTCCTTTGTTATTATTACAGGTTAAAGTGCGTAATGTGCATGACCAGTATTGGTTGGGAACAGTGGAACACTATGATCTTGACTACGATATTCTACTTGTCAACATCCAGACCCCTTATCTTTGTGTAGCACGCCTTTACCATGAAGTGCAACTTGGGCCAGGTAGCAAGGTAGTAGCTGTGGGTCGTGTTTTCAACACGAAAAAATTGATGGCTGCAAGCGGGTTAGTGAAGGACAAAAGGGACATATCTGATCAGAAAGAGTGTGCTATCTCCACTTGTAAAATCAGTAAGGTACACTGTTGTCATGTATTTTTACATGTTGGAAACAAATAGTCACATCAGGATACGATTGGCTTAATCAATCACTGCTTTTACTTAACTTCTTTTCCTGTGTAATTACCCTTGGTTAATTGTCTTTTTCTTGAACTAATCCTGGTTTATTGTCACTTTTCTGTCTTTTTGCTAGGTTGGGATTGGAGGACCCCTTATTGATTTAGATGGAAACTTTCATGGCATGAACTTGTATGGTGAGGGAGAAACACCCTTCCTTCCAACGAATATAATTCTTGAATGCTTGAAGCGCTTTGGGCTATCTCGGTATGTCTTCCACTATTAATGAGCTACAGTTTCTCCACCATCTCATCCATGTATGCTTGTAGGCCTATATGTTTTGCTGCACAAATTACCTGGCAGGCTTTACTGCTCTGATAATATTCTATTTCATCATGTGCCCCTCATGTGAGGGAAAACACTAAAAAATTATGATTCAGAGGTGTTGGCTCAAGTGGGATTTTTTGGTCTATAATTCTGTTCCTAAATCAGCTATTCAGCAAAAAAAATAGCTAGCCAAAAGTTTGCTTGCCTAAAATTTGGCCAATGACTGGCAACTGGCAAGAAATGTATGGGATATGACTAAGGAGACATGTTCTTGCTGAAATTTCTGGCAACCACCAGAGTGCCAAATTTTGGGCCAACTCAATTTTTGCTAAGGTTAATTTGGTAACAAATAAAACACTTCCATAATCTTGGCATTTGTAGTTTCCATGCTTTTGCAGGCTCAATGGTCCCTCTTAACCCTTTTGGCATTTTTCAGTGCCTCTGCTTTGTTTTGAATGTTTGTTCATTTAAAAGAGTTAGGTTGCCTGCTACCCCGAGTCAACGAGTTCAGGTGTCTCCTGGACGCTTGCCACGCCCATTGTTGTCTAGCACTTCTGTTTGAATATCGCAGCTAATATATTTGTTCAGATTTAGTTCTAATTCTTTATGGATTACTCTCATTTACGTTTCCTAGAGGTTTCATACAATATTTTCGCAACGTGGACTCTTCTTTATGGAGCTCGAACTTTTATGGGTACTATTATTTACGGGATCCCTAGAGGTTTAATATAATATTTGCTCAATGTGCACTCCTCTCTGGAGTATGTGTGACCATATGACTTCAAACTTTTAGCCTTTTAGGTAAGCACTTCCGTAAGGTTATTATAACAAATATGCCTTGTTCTACTGCAGGGTTGGAAATAGGCAGGGAGACTATTGTACAAGTAAGAAGAGAAAAACTGAACCTCTTACTTACAAATAGATCAGACATTTTTTTCTTCCTTATCTACTGTTGGATCTGTAATGTGAGGATGGTTTCACAGTTGTACTTATAAATAGCATGCTATGTAGTCAATTATCTTTGTGATAAGCAGTTCAACTTGTGTGATAAATTCAAATGTGCCCTGATGGCACTTACACGGTTACACCCTATATTTACACATCGAGTATGCATGATATACAGCTGATCAATTTTGAATTTTGACCTGAAAATGGATTAGCACATAGGCACATACGCAGCTACAATAGTGTAGATTTTAGGTGTGCATGTGCAGATGTTTTCAATTATGCTTATGCTAGATGGTATGCTTGATGAGAATAATGTACAAGCGCTTGTCTGCAATTACCTTTTCTATTATGCCAATGCCTCTTCACTCATGGTTTTCATTTTAGGTGGGGATGGGAATGTAAACGGTTACCAGACTGATTTGGACTATCCACAAGGTGAACTCTTATGGCCACTAAATTGGGGTTGATCATATTTTAGTTGTTGTTGTGTTACTTATTGGTCACTGTTGAGCATAATTTTGACTTTTATGGAAGTATGTCGTTTTTTTCTGGTGCTTTTCTTATCTGTTTTAAAGGTTTTTAGCATTCTGGTATTAACATATGATCAGTAATGATTTATTCATGATCGCTTTACCATTTTTCCAGACCTTGTTGATACGATACATGAAAATTTACGCTCTCGCAGTTATCCATTGCCAGCTAGAATGCGTGGTGGGTGGTTGCTCCTGATTCAAAAACTTGTCCTCTTATCATTTTTCAGCTTTATTCTAATACTCACTGCTCTGTTATAACATGATTCCTTAAACAGTAGGCTTGCGTTTGGTTAATTCTTTTGAAGAAGAATTTCGCCCCCTCGATCCTTGTAGTGAAGACTTCATGAATGAACTCAATGTGGAGCTTGCGTCAAAGTTGTCCCAGTGTGTTGTCTCACTGGCTGCATTCAACGGTGCTTATGCTTGCTTGAATACAATCAGGACTTCTGCACGTTATTATTTTCTCAGATTGAAATAATGATCTTAATGTTGTGCATAGGAAAAATACGGCGGTTTGCATGCTCAGGCATACTTATAAAGTACGGTCGATGCACAAGTGTACTGACGTCAGCAAGTTTGGTGAGGTATTCTGATGATGAAAGCAAAATCAATGATGACTTGCAGGTTGGTTTTGCTATTCCTTCAGCCCTACTCATGCGTCTTACTTTAAGATATTGGTTAAACTCTACATTTGCAGATTGAAGTCCGCCTTCCAAATGGGCAATGTGTCAAAGGGGTGCTGCAGTGCTGTTGTTTAGAGTACAATATCGCTGTTATCAAAATCACAAGGTTCACTGATCTTTGTGCAATAAAACTTGAACGCCGAAGGCAATTCAAGTCTGGTAGTAAGGTGGTAGCCATAGGGCGTATCTTTGCTCAAGGGAAATTAACAGCTACACATGGAATGATTACTGACAAACTGAGCAAACTTGATTGTGAGGTGCTTATGGTCTCCACTTGTAAAATTACTAAGGTACACTGCTGATTTCTTACTTACTAACCTGAAAAAAAAGCTTTGTGCTATACTGCTATGAGTGGCTTAATATGTCAATTCATACTTAACTACATAAGATATATGGCATTAGAAATCAACTTTCACCCTCAATTTTACCCTTTCTCATAGTCGCTTCGTTTTGTGCTAGGCTGGGATAGGAGGCCCCCTTGTTGATTTCAGTGGGAACTTTGTTGGCATGAACTTTTGTGACGATGATGAAACTCCATTCCTGCCTAGGAATGAAATTATTATGTGCCTGAGGCGTTTTCGGACTAAAGGGTATGTGTTTCAATTTTCATATAGAACTTATGTGATAATAAATAGGCCGGCGACTAATGTTGCCTAAGACTTCAATTGTTTTAAGACCATTTCTGAAGCAGTTTCAGTCGTAAGAAATTTTTTTATCGAAATAACTTTTCTTCAATTGTGATTATTTGTTATCATTGTTGTCAACAATACATCATTGATCTTCATACTAGATACTACCTTTTGTACTTCTTCCCATACCATTCGAGCATCATGTGCACCTCATCTTGTTTTGGGGCACCACACCTGTGTGTGTGTTGATGTTGTACCTTACTCTAGCTTAGGCTTGTCTGTTAAGCTGAAGTTGGTAGAGCTTGGAGCTTATATAGTAGCTTGGAGGCCCAACAGACCGGCTTCTGGTGGTGTATGGGCATAACCGTATGAACCATTTGTCTGAACTGGCTTATCATTTATTCCGACCTCATTGGTTGGCTGTTCTATTTAACCTTCCAATCTCAGCCATTTGTAATGCCACTCAGTTTGTGATAGTCTATGAATTTCCCTATCACGAATGTTTTGAAGTGTTGATGTCTGCTATAATTCAGTTATGTTCATGTCTGCATATAATTCAGTTATGTTGATGTGTGCTACAATTCAGTTATGTTGATGTTTAAACTCGCTTCATTGTGGGCTTTTTTGATAGGACCAAGGCTGTTGGATATATTGATGAGAGTCCTCGCCCAAACAAGTATTCTTTCTGACACATAAGAAATGTTTTATCACAATGTCCACCTGAATTTGTTCATTGAAAGTTAATTTTTGTTGAATGGCAGGTGGCCAGTGCCCGAGCCGTACTGGTCTTACACGTCAGATGTAAAGCGTCTGAGTTTGGAAGAAGTGATGAGCAGAATTCCCAAGTTTGATTGGAGATCGACGTTCTGCTAACTGAAAAACCGTTTATGCACGTACATATTTTTTAATTAGTTACTACGACTAGAAGATCGCTCGTGCGGTGCAACAAAAACAAACTAAAATTATGATAAACATTCGATGATTAGAATTCATTTTTTTTGTGATATGAGCTTTTAAAGAGAACTTAATAGTGTAGGCCGCTCAAAATAGTCTTAAATATTTCAAAAGTTTGATAAATATTATCCTAAAGTAAAACATTTGATTGGAGGGAAAATCAAATAGCACATTAATTGCCTTCAAGGTAAAAGAAGATTCATAAATTTTAGCCCAATGGAATAAACAACATTAGATTTCAAGAGCGCAGTCATCGGTAATAGAGAGAGAAGAGAAGTAGTGAATAGATTTTTGAGTTTTTTGTTTTACTAGCAATCTTGCCTGTGCGCTGCCAAGGTTCACAATTAAAATACATTAGTGTGTTGATTCTCTCTAAAATCTATACTAAACGTGTTAAGCCTGTTCGGCTGGGCTAGAGGATCGTGGATTATTACTACTGGCTGGTTTGGTGTGAGAGAAAAATACTGTTTCGGCTAATCGTTTACGAGATTCACCACCGGTAGTTTTTTTTTTTGTAATAATACTGATATATGTATTGACCCATTTGTTTGCTCACCAGTAGTCACAGTTCCAATGTACTCTTGCCAAAGTGCTAAGCCATCTCCGCTAGCCTCGACAACCAATTACCCAACCGGTAGTTTTTTTTTTTGTAATAATACTGATATATGTATTGACCCATTTGTTTGCTCACCAGTAGTCACAGTTCCAATGTACTCTTGCCAAAGTGCTAAGCCATCTCCGCTAGCCTCGACAACCAATTACCCAAAGCAAGTACTCTGAGTCAGTGATGTCGATCATGTGAGAATATGTATATGTCAAGATCATGTAAGCAATAGCCGAACAAAGAATTTTTTAAGAGTGGGTTAAAATGAATATACACAATGTTGAAATTGATGTTACATTTAATAGGGTTTTGAATGAATGTAACCCTCCTTCCTTGTGTTACTATGTTGCCAACTTCACAATCTTAGGTTTTCTGTTTCAGTGCAATTCAGCTGTTCCTATTGTATGAAATTTGCAGCAGTTCTAAATTCCTGGAATTTGCGAGCTTCCTTATTAGCTCTGTTCGCTAGTTTCTCTGTGTTGCTAACAGTCAGTTTGCCATAGCAGATATGGAGCCAATTAATCTTTTGCCTTGTACCTTTGTTTCAGGTAATGCAGGGAAAAAAGTTGGGGGAATTCCCTGTGTGTCATTAAAAAAGATCGTAATGCTCTGTGTGCTCCTAAAAAAGTTCAGCGGTCTTCAGCGTCACTACTCTAACTTTTTCGTGTCTTCCATGCCACTTCCGTCAGTTTGAGCTCTAACGCCATCAAACTGCAGGTGTGAAAAGACGAAAATACCCTTAAGTCTAAATATGTTATTAGTTTTTTTTAGCATCTTAACGACTTCAAATGAAAAAACTCAAAACTAGAAAGTTGTAGATCTTGTCGAGATCTATATTTTTCATATAAAAATTATTTTCATTTAATTTCGTAAAAAATATGATTTGATATGATTAATATATCTTAGAAAAATCATATTTTTTTTGCATTTGAAGTCGCTAAGATGCTAAAAAAATTAATAAATATATTGAGACTTAAGGGTATTTTTGCTTTTTTTGACACTGCAGCTTGACTACTGACAAGTAGAGCCCAAAACTGATGGAAGTGGCATGGAGGACACGAAAAAGTTGGAGTAGTGGCGTTGAACACCGCTGAACTTTTCTAGGGGCATACAGGGCATTGCGATCTTTTTTAATGGCACACAGGAAATTCCTCCAAAAAAGTTCCGATGGAAGTAGGGAGATATGCTGGTGTTGGAGTTATCTCCAAATTTATCTATTGCTGTCAAATATTTGACTGTCTTTTGCTTGGATGTTTCATGCCAAAGAAATTATTCATAGATGGAACACCTAGTGAACTTCAAATTATACCTCTGTAGCAGACTTAGCTGTCAAAGTTATCTATTACTGTCTAATACTTGGGTTTGTATGTCTGGTGTGTACTGTTTTTACTTGGATGGTCATCGTTGAATCAATGATTCTAGTTCACCTATAAATATTTCATGAATTTGTAATAAGCCATGCACATGCATGTTAATTTCTCTATTTTCTATGTGAAATTCTACTCGTGTTTTTTTTGTGGTAATTTTCAAAGCAGGGTTTTTAGAATTGCAGATGGAAATATATAATGGATTTTCTTTTCTGATATTTTCTTTCTTTTGTTATTTTTATTGTTCTTGATCTTTTTTATATTGATTTTTACTCACTCTTTTGTTAAGTATTTTATTTTTCTAGTAGTTTTTGAACTCAATAAGCTGAATTTTTATTTTTTATTTTTTTTATTTCTCACATGCATACAGAATACATTTGTAGCTATGTATACATTTGACAATCCACCGTGCATACTGTGACGATGCGCCAAGCCTCTAGCAGCAGGGAGCCACGCGCCAGGGCCTGTTTGGATTGCAGCGTGGGAAAGCTGCCTGGGCCAGGCATCACTCCCAGGCGTTCGAACGCCTGAGGTCGGATGTGCATGCCTGGCCGGAGCTCCCAGACGAGGCCTGCATCTGTCAGTCCCGGCCACAAAGAGTTCCTGATGATGATGATGATGAGTGTAACAACATATAACAATTAGTATATAATATCTAGAGTGTACGTGTAAATCAAAATTGCATGCATGCATTACCGTGAAGAGCTTGGAGATCTCTGCGCGCGTGATCTGCGACTTGGCGTGGCGCGCAAGGACTAGGTCCAGCAAGTCGCCGTGGTTTGCACCGCCACCGCTAGCTAGCCGGCTCTGTACGACGTTTTCGTCAAACATCTTATAGCACTCTGCTAAATTTCTGGAGACGCGGCGACGCAAGCCAAAGGGGTCAAGCCGTGCAAGGAACGGGAAAATGTCGGAGATGTTGGGTGTGGCCAACGCCCCGAAGATGGCGATCATGTTGCCCTTATAATATAGCAGCTGCTGCTGGGGCTGGCCGCTCATCAGCTCCACGACGTCCACCAGGTCCCTGGAGAAAATGATGTTGGAGACGACGTTCACCAAGGCGCCAAACACGGCCTCCCCGACCGCTACGGTCTGGCCACCAGAACGTCGACACGCCGCCGCCCTCACGGCCTCCGCGAGCCGCCGGGCATGGCGGTCCCGGATCTGCCGGGTCATCTCGATGCTCCGCCCGGAGAAGTGAGCGCTGATGGAGACACGATTAATTATGCTTCCACAGCGGGTTGGAGCACGGCAGGAACAACACGGAGCCCTCGTTGTGGGCCATGGCGCGCGCGCCGTCCGGCACCCACCGGGCGGTGACGGCCAGGTCGTTCCCGGCTAGGGCTTCCCGGGCCGCAGCGGGCGATGACAACACCACGAAGGGGGGCGTCCTCATGCCTACTCGGAAGGACGCGATCGGCCGTAGGTTTGGTTGAGGCGGGCAAGCACGCGGTGCGGGCTGTGCCGGAGCACCCCGATGAAGTAGAAGGTGTTCCCTATGAGGGGGAGTCCCGAGGGGCCAGGGGGAAGCGGCGGAAGAGATAACGATGCATCCCGCCTGCGCTTATTGAGGACGACGTGAATGGAGATCACAAACAGTGCTACTGCGTATATACAGGCCAGCAATATCATCGAGAGCCCCATCGATCTGATCCCCTCGATCGATCGCTCTGTGTTGTTGTTGTGTGACAGCTGAGGAGTGAGGCAGAGCGTGTACGGAGGGTGTGTATTTATAGCTCGGAGCCTGCACTCACAAACATTTTTAATTTAGCGGTCACGTTTATAGATGATTTTTCTATTCATAATACTAGCTAGTACGTATTGATTCTTGCCTAATAACCAATTAATTAATTAATCATCTGAACAGCTAGCATTTTAGCAGAATACTAGATTGCTTATTTTGTTTAGGGAGTGTCTAGTTATCTGTCCATAGCTTTTATGTGTTCAAATCTGTCAGATTTTTTAGAATGCGACCCAGTAACGACAGTTGTAGCACAAATCTTAAAGCATAATCAAACGTATAAAAATTTGATAGGTTTAGCACCAAAAAAATCTGTCAACAATTAAATAACAAAAATCTTTTGCTTATTATTATTCGGCTATCATGGTTGCTAATACCTACATGATTAGTACATGGATTAATTAATGGAAGAAGGCATGCATGTATGGCTTACGTGTGGCCTATGGGCCATTTAATTTAACATGCATACGTTTAAAACGATACAGGAGGATTCCCCGCGCTGCTGCGGGTACGAAGAAGGAATATAAATGGGTTAGGATGTTAATCAGTAAGAATTAGGAGATGTCACCATTAGAGAAATAACTTTTGATCCACTTTGAAATTTAGCTTTAGTCCCGGTATTTTCCGCGTCCGGGACTAGAGAGACCTTTAGTCCCGGTTTGTACCTCCAACCGGGACTAAAAGTCCTTGCCCAACGGCTACTGCGGCAGACTTTTGCTGCAGGGAACATTTAGTCCCGGTTGGAGCTACCAACCGGGACTAAAGGTTAACTTTTACTCCCGGTTGGTCCCTCCAACCGGGTGTAAAAGTCTACTCCCGGTTGGAGGCTCCGTCCAGGACTAGAAAGGGACCTTTAGTCCCGGTTGGTGTCTCTAACCGAGACTAAAGGTCCCCTCCTATGACCCCTTCTTTCTCTCCGAGCCCAAGCCACTTCGACCTCAGTGTTCTTGCTTCATCGCCAGCCTCTCTTCTTCCTCATCCCCGGTAATCACAAGATTTCTTTGATTCCTCCATCGATTCTTCGGTTCTAAAGGTTACCAACTTTATACTCTCATGTTTCATCAGTAGCATATCTCATTTTGTGGACTAGATATATGTGGTTTTTTATGGTGGATTTTTATTATTTGTAAGCCATTTAAGCTCAAAATCACTTTAAAGTTTGCATATTTGGATGAAGGAAGGTTAAAGTAGTTATTCAAAACTAGTA